GGTAACGACCACGAAAAGACGAGGTTTGAATTGGTTTGAAGTTAGGATCAGATGACCATTACTCAAAGCTTAAGAAAGGCTCATTGGGCCCAAGTAATCGAGAGAAAGAGTCAAAGACTTGGCTATCTCTCTTTTTCATCTTAGAAGAAATTGATTAAAGGGTGTTAGAAATGATGAGTGGTTGGACGATGGTTGAACGTTGTCGAGTTGTTAATGTTATTTAGAGGCATCAATTGCTCACACACGAGTAAGATAACTCGTATCAAAACAACTGAAAGAGAGATCAAAGGCTTAATCCCCCTCTTTACACCTTGAAAATGAGTTAGATAGCTGTTAATTGATTAATAGTTTGATTGAGAAAATCCGCTTGACGTTGGATCAAGGGTTTGACTTGTATTTGCGTGCAAAACGTGTTGGAATGGAAATGGTTTTGAGAAACGGCTCGACGACGAGTCGAGGTTTTGATGGAACCGACTTGACGATGAATCAAGGGTTAAGTTGTGAGAAACGATACTAGTCCCTGAGGGTGCTCCCAATATTGAAACTATGATGAAGTGTGTGCAATAGGTTGATGGCGAATGCGGACGAGCACTCAACTTACAAGGGGTGTTTGAAAATGGCTCGATGACGAATCGAGAATTAGTTTGAAAATAGTTTGATCTACGCTAGTCCCTATGGGTTCTCCTAGAAGATAAACCACATTCAAAGAAATACGAAACATACATCGAAATGGGAGAGGAGTACATGCAAATTACACGGGATTGCACGAAATAAAGAGTCTCATTGTCAGGTAGCCCAAGAGAAAGCAGTGTGTGTGCAATGTGTCCTAAACTAAGCCTTGAGGAAAAGTCTGGCACAATTCCATGCTAGGGTTCCTGAAAATGTCCAATGATCCATCACTCGGATAAACAACCAACAATCCACCAATTTTGGATTTTATGGTTTCGATAATTATTACGTGTTTTTGAATACGTGTGAATAAGAATGAATAGAATGAATATGATACGACAATTATGAATAATATGACAAGATAATATAACAATAATATCAAGATAATATCAATAATAATATGAACAGGATATAATGATTGAATTTAAAGCAGTTGATATTTGACAGAAAGTAAAAGTTAGTGGTTAGTTTGTTATGAATTGAATCGGGAAAAAATGTAATGCTAAACCGTCGTAGCTTGACTTATAATGAAAGTAGAACTATAGGAGGTCTCGTAAATTGATATCCGTGCTAAAAACAATATAGAGAAATAATATTGAGAACCCTTCTCCAATTTAATCGTGTCGCACGAATCAAAAAAAGGTGAGATCTCGTCTTAATCATAAACTTGTGTCAATTAATCGAAGGTAGCCTATCACGATTCCAAAGTAAAGAAAATGATCCAAATGGTCATTTTCCATAGATTTGAAATTGTGAAGGTTATCGACTTCGATAAATCGATGTTTACGTGAAATTGAATGAAAAAACAGATAAGGGATGATGTTTTGGTGTTCTTTGAAGAGAAAGGTTGAAGAATGTTTAATGGGTGAAGATTTCCTCTCCCGCGAAGAGATTTGGGGTTGCCGTTTTAAAAAAGGGTAAAAAGAAAGCGAGAAAAAGGGAGGTGAGGGTTTCTAGTCGTGTTCTTGGTCTCCCCCTCATAACGTAGTGATGTCCATTTGTAGAGGAATTAAAGAGTACAAATGGAAATGATAATGAAATTGGTGTGCTGTGAATTTTCGTACAAAAATTATACGACCTTATGGATGGTGCGATTTGTGTGTGAAAACGTTGGATTGCTGCTTTCAATTCGTGTAGGGCGAGTCGTTGTGCATCCTCTAAATGCTTGTCGTTTCTGCCAGATTTGTAAATTGTGGGGTCACCTTAAATTAAAGCAACGACATGAGGTTTCTTTGGTCGCAAACGGCTTTTTGTCACAGTGGTGAGGTCATTTTGAGCAAGTATATTTTTCTTGTTTTTACTGCTGTGAAATTTGTTGTTACCTATTGTCATTCTCTTCCTTGTTCTGATTGTAATTTTTCAAGCTTGTTGTAAGCGTAGTGTTAACTACTTTTGCATTACGAGCATAGCATGTTGCTTCCATATGGATCGCGTGTAATGTTTCTGTCGTGTTGTGAATCTCAATTCTTGCAAACTTTTGTTGTTGTAGTAATGGCTTTGTGTGCATTTGTGTGCTATGGTTTCAAAGTGTTTGGCGTGAGGGCCTTGTGGTGAATTGTGTGATTTGCATGCATGATATACAAGTCATGAGCTTTTGGGAAAGTTTAGATGTGGGCTTTGGTATTAGGCATTCTATTCAAGTGTAATATGTACTTAACCCTTTTTTTTAAAAAAATTGTAATGTATAGATTTATAAGTAAGAAAAACAATGGACTTTAGTTTTTTAGATGGACTCTTGATAAAAAACTTGGTGATAAAAATACTCTTGTAGAGCTTTTATGAATGGAATTTTGAGTATTTTTTCATTTTTCGGAAGAATTGAATTTGCACCTCCACGCTTGATTAAACTTTATGAGTGACTTGTCTTGCAATTTTTGAATCTTGATTCTTGATTCCAAAACCATGCCTACTACAATTTGCACTTCATTTGTGATCCAAAAAACTTACCAGCCTAATTCCACCCTTTCTGAATTACTACAAAATAAGCGAAGCTTTGGATTAAACTGGAGAAATAAAATCAAACCTAGTTCAACTTCGGCCTTGAATGGATTAAAACTCCTGATCAATGAACCAATGAATCAAATTTGAAATAATCTTAAAATCAGTCATTTGAATCTTGAATTAACCCCTTGAAGATAAATCCACCATAAAATCCAATCTTGAACTTGAACTATTGGACCAAATACTCGCCATAAACCCCATGATTAGGGAATTTCCTTGAGATCAATGACTTGACGCATGAATTGTATTACTCACAACCCTAATTAGAAAATGAGTTGAATCCTGATAATCTGATTTGATTCACTTCAAAACCTCATGACAGAAGCAACATATTTTTTTGGATTTTCTGGTTAATTTTTAGTGGTTGGCATACAGGTGAGGAATAATTTACAAATAGGACAAATTTAGGGTATGACAAATATGAGGTCTTTCCCGTTTTAAAATTTTAAATATGTTTTTGGACCGCATCATTTTCAATGTCATGTTAGAAATAAGATCTTTCTCTACAAAATTCAATCGACATACAATGGAATGGTCGGCTAACTTGTAACATAAATCATAATTATGTATACCACAAACAACATTAAATGTCCATGTATTAACCACATTAACTTCTTGATAGGTTTTTCGTACTTGTCACTTCTTTCACATCTCATTGTAACAAGTGTGTTCAGAATCAACTCTGACCTCTTGATTACAATGTCAAACCTTAATTGGAGCCTTTGTGCGGATATATTTGAGCATATGTTCACAAACAACAAACTTATGTTTCTTTGTAAATTGTTTACCAACATCTACCTCGACATCAACTTGTTTAACATCTATAAATACAATATCTTTGAATACAACATCAGGGTGCTCCATTGGTGCAACCAATAATACCCTCCATTGGTGCAACCAATAATAACATAATCAAATGTAAATTCAACATGAAAACAGTTCGGAATTAAACCTCCAGAACAACATGAAACTTAATACGGAAATCAACTTTCGGACGAAAAATTCATTTTTACATAACTCAACCAGATTCTTACGAGCAATAAAAAAATACATACAAACAACCTTAAATTTCAACTTCTTTTACTTTTTTTTATGTGAAATTTTAAAATACAAATTTTAATTGTGAATGGAAGGTGATTTTTTTGTAGGATTTTGAAAGTATGGTAGTATAATCATGAAATAAAGAATACATATAAGATGATGTCATAGTCATTTCTCACTAAATAAATTCGAAAGTTTATGTATTATTCAATGATAGTGAGAGAAATAAATACACTATCATGAGTTTTAAATATATCCAGAAATTAATTATGAACTTAAGTAATAAACTCACCCTTCAATCAATATAGAGACTTTCTTATGTTTCCAATATTTATGGGTTTTCTAAGGTGACTCTGCGAAAAGCAATCCCCTTATACTTAATATAAACTAAAGTATCAAACGCGCATACCATGAGATTTATCTTTTGAAGAAATCAGCATACGCAAACTTTATACCAAATGATTAAAAACTCAAATGTATATCGACTGTGCTACACCAGTTTGGGGCACGCCATATTGGTTAGTTAAATAATGGAACTTGAAATAAAAATCATATAATCGAAAGAGGAATAAAAACTTTCATTTTTTTGTTCAGTATCTAATCATAGTTGGCAACATATATAAAAACAAAACAAAAACTAACCAGAGTTAAGTTGTGCAGATTGCAATCATGTTAAATATCTAGAAGGGTCCCAGAGGCTGAAATGAATAGTCATAACAATTTAATATATATATATATATATATATATATATATATATATATATATTTATATATATGTGTGTACCAAAGTTTCCGACTTTAGGTTAAACTCAAGTAGTTAACCATGGAAATCTAAAGTACTAGTACTATTCAATTAGCATACAGTTTCTGCAAAACATGGAAAACAAAATAAGCAATTTCTTTTTCTAGTTACAAACATTACTTACTAAAGTATTAGTACTATTCAGTTAGCAAGCAGTTTATGTGAACAAACGAGAAATTTTTTTCTAGAATAGCAAACACATTAAGAAATTAAAAATCCATGTCTTGTCCATGTCTTCCAATAAATTACTACACCTAACAAGAAACAAGCTAGTAGTTTTTTTGCATCCAAAACATCATAAAACTCCATAGTTGGGGGAATAAAATAATACAAAGATTATGAAACACAACAACAAATGGCTGTTCATTTGTAGCTCAAATCTCTAACACAAACATATCTACACCACAGGGAGGGGGAAGGAAAGGATAACAGCATCACACACTTCTCTGAGCCCATCAAAGGCACTTCCTTGAAGTCATGTGGTTTATTAATGAGCAGTATGAGGGAAGGTGTTGATTCCACGGTGTGCGTGGATAGCACAAGCACAATGGACAGAAGTCAAATTGAGACAACCACTCATGATGAGTGAGTGTCTCCCAGAGCATGTGTGGAGTGCAGGGGATGAGTCACAAACCGCCTGAACAGCAGAAGGAGTGAGTGAAGTGCACTGACTAATGTTCAAATTTCTAAGTCCATCCTCTTCATTTCCTCCTTTCACAGCTCCCCACATCCTGTTCTTCACTTTGCTTTGTGCTAAGGAATACATTGCATTGTCTGTTATGTTCTTGCAGAAGTACAGTCCAAGGGATCTCAGGTGAGGGCACCTGTTTGCCAAAGCAATCACACTATCATCTGCAATCAAAGCCAACATTTTCAAAATTAAAATTTCTCTCACTCACCATTAGTGTCCGACTGTCCGTGTATGTGTTACATAGTAACAAAACTTAATATCAAGGTAAAATACCTGTAATCTTGACACAGCCACACAAGTCAACTGTTCTTAGATCAGGACAACCATATGCTAAACTCATTACTCCAACATCACTAACCTCCTCACACCATCCAAGGTTCAAAGATTGTAGCTGATTGCAGTAGTGTCCAATAGCCTATTCATAATACAAATGGGGGTTATAATTAAAATCCATCTCAATTTTAATATAATTGTGAATACCAATAAGTATATATATGCCATATAAAAATACCACCTGAAGTGCAGTATCAGAAGCTGCTCTAACACATCCACATAGATTTAGAACTTTGAGTTTTCTACAGAAACCAGCAAGGTAGGCCAAAACATTGTCACTAAATGCTGAACATGCACTGATGTTTAGTTTTGTAAGATCGCGACAACCATGCGCTATAGCATACAGTGATGCATCCGTGAGCTTGAAACTTTTGCTGAGATCAAGAATCTGCAGGTCATGACAGAAATTTGCAATAGTCCTAACAGCATCATCCTCTAGTTGTGGCTTATCTTGACGAAGGATTAGAGTTTGCAATTTCGCAAACTTTGGAACAAGAGATATGACCAAATTGTTCATGTTCTTGTTACACCTGTAAACATCAATCACATAGTCCTGTTATTACTACCTTCAATGTAAATTGAAGACATCAGTTTCTACTATATTTTCATGTGACAGGGCAAAAAAAAAGTACTTAATACCACTGAACCAAAATGAGTATTTTTCAAAGATCACTTTTCTAAGATTTCTACAAATCCAAATTGTTCATGTTCTTGTTACACCTGTAAACATCAATCACATAGTCCTGTTATTACTACCTTCAATGTAAATTGAAGACATTAGTTTCTAATATATTTTCATGTGACAGGGCAAAAAAAAAAGTACTTAATACCACTGAACCAAAATGAGTATTTTTCAAACATCACTTTTCTAAGATTTCTAAGCAGAGTGAAACAAAGATGGGGAACAACAATGGATTTGAAGAAATTGAATTCAAAACTGAAACGGGCAAGCTATGATTAACACTATAACTTCAACAAACTTAAGCTTCTCAAATTAGAAGACTTGCAGGTTTATTCCAGAAATATACAGGGGAAACCAACTTCAGAAATTCTAAGGAATCAATAGAAGCAGTCCTTTATTTCAATTAGTTTCTGTGCCTTGGACTCCTTATTAATTGCAAAAATACATTATTTTCCCACAGCAAAAAACCCAACAGAACATTGTCTGTGGACGATATTACTAGATTGGACGTCATCATCAGAGTTCGAACCCTCGGTTCAAACCCTGGTACTGAGTTGCATGTTTCTAGTGGTTATTACCACTTTGTTACATTCATAAACTTGAGCAAGCTAGATTAGCATAAACAGCTTCATGAAAAGAGTAAAGGTACATGAATAATAGATAAATAATCTAGAAAACATGAAATCAGAATCAGCAATTTCAGAATCAAATTCAATTTAAACAAAACAAACAAAAAAATCACTTCAATTCAAGAGAGAACGATAAATACCAAGAGAGAGATAAACGAGCAAGTCCAAAGTAAATAGAATCTCTCCAACCACGACAAACACCAGAAGCTCTAATCACCGTCTGATCATCCACAAGTGACAAAATTTGCATCAAAAGCTCCACAGGAATATCTTTCCATTCAGTAATCACACCAACCTTCATATTCCCTCCTTTCTCACCACCAGCAACCATCATAAGATTCTCAAACCACAAATTCAAATCCTCAGTTTTCAGATTATAATTCCCAACCATTTCACTTCCAGACCATCAAAATCATCAACTCACACACCTATCAAAAAAAAAAAAAACACTGATTTAACCACAACAAAATTCCAAAACAAGCACTTTCAACCGATTAATCATAATCACAACCACAAATAAAAAACACACACGGATAATTACAATTTTAATCACAAAAAATAAAATAAATATGATGATAATTACCAGTATAGAAAACAAAGGTTGCAATATTTTAGGGTTTAATTTAGGGTTGATTGTGAGAATAGAGAAGCGTGAAAGTGCTTCTCTGAAATTGAAAGAGTATGGGGAAAGATGACTAAATAGCGTGAAGAGAAACGAAACAGGAAGGAACAGGAAAGATGGAGAGAAACGTTACCATGCCACGTGTACTGATGATGAATTAAAGAATGGAGGGGTTAAGTGGGTCCCAAGTAAAGTATACTACTTTGATGAAAATGGAGGTCAGATGAGGGGAAAGAAAACGAAAATTAGGGAAATAAAGTTTAATGTGTTTTTGTTTTTTTGTTGCTAGGGTTGGTTGGCAATATGTTAATGGTATACTATATTTGTAAAGCTTGAATCTAGTCTACTTTACTTTGAAAATAGGCTAAATACCTAATCACATCTTTTACTAGTTTAAATGTTTGTATTAAATTAATTTTATAACTTTTTAATAATTTAAAAAAAATTAACTTATTATCAATGTTTTAAAACCCGACCACGATCGAACTAGTTGAGCCAGAAATTAGAGAATAGAGTGATATGTTAAAACATGATTTTTTTAAGGCGTTCAAGGTATTTCTTAGATACCATACAAATTTTCTATAATACTTTTAGTTTTTAGAAATATATTTTCGGACGCATTATTTTTATACTCAAGAAATGTCATTTTGTATGGCGCCCCATGCATTTGCTAAAGAGTTATTTCAGAAATATATCTCTGAAACTATTTGAAGAAAATATAAATATTAATCAGTTCAGTGAAAATTTCTGAGATATATTTCCAAAAGATGTGAGCGGCAATTTAAATTTTTCGGTCACCTTTGCATGTTAGATTGTTCTGAATATATATATCTCCGAAAGTATCTGATATATTTTTCAGCTGCATGATCACTCCTCATTGTTGCCATACTTATATTTCAACTTAAACCCTCACCCCTAAAAACCGTACATTCTCAGTCCCATTTTTCACTCCAAATCTCCATCCTTTTGGTTCAACATATCACAGAGAGCAAAAGAAGATCGAATTTCAGATAAAGATTGTTCATTTCCATCTACATTGTTTAGATTAATCATGAAACTTTGCTGAAAAAACTTACACAGTGTCCGGAGATGTATCTCCAGAACGTGTTGAACATGAACTTTTTCAGATATATATTTCTGGAACATTTCAGTAGATTAATTATTTTTACTGTTTTTATTGTTTCCAATAGATATGGTGCACCCTGATAATATCTCGAAACAAGTAGTTTCTTCGAACGAAGTTTCTCCGAATGTTCAAGAGATTGTTGTTAAGGCAGTAAATGTTCGCAATGAATTTAATAACAAGCAAGAGTTTGAAAATCGTGATAACGTGCTCGAATAGATTTGTATGGTGGCATCTAGACTTAGATTTGGTGTTGTTATCGGAAGGTCGGATAATGGCTCGGATAGAAGAAGCGTCTTTGTGACTATGTTGTGCGAGAGAAGCAGAAAATATTGAACTCCTCTCTGAAATTTTAAGAGAGAAAACACGGGTAATAGATAATGTAAGTGTCTGTTTAAGCTTCGTGGTTACATGTTGGCTAGAAAAAATGGAAATTTAATGTCATTTGTAGTGTGCATAACCATGAATTGTGTTTAAAATTAGTTGAACATCCTAGTGTATGTCAGCTCAAGCCAGAAGAGAAGGTATGTATTAGTTACATGACCTTGAATCTTGTCCAACCGAAAAATATACTTGCAACATTGAAACGGAAGTAAACCGACAATATATCAAACATCAAGCAAGTGTATAACATTCGACACCTCACTAACAAGGCGATTAGTAGAGATATAACTGAGATGCAACAACTGTTGAAACTGTTGGACGATAACAGTTACGTGTTCTGGTATCGAACTTGCGACGATGGAGTTACGGTTAGAGATATTTTTTGGACTCATCCGAATTCGATAAAGTTGTTCAACTCGTTTCTGACAGTGTTCGTACCTGATTCTACCTACAAGACCAATAAGTATTGTAACGCCCCGATTTCGATTATTCCCATTTTGTTGAGTCTTTTGATTTAATTGGGTGATTATTATTTTAATTGTGAAATTTATGTGGTAATATGTTATATTTGCATATTGTGCTATTTTACCGATTTTGAGAGTTTCGGGGAAAATAGATTGGAGGGTATTTTTGACATTTGGTATTTAATGTTAAGTTGGATATTTGTGAGAAAATTGATTAATAGATGTTTTGAGAGAAATAGGATAGAAAGAGATATAAATGGAAATTGGATAGAAAAGAGAATAGAAACATAAGAAGAAGAAAGAGGAGGAAGAGAAAAGAAGAGAAATAGAGGAAAAGCTTGGAATCATCAAGAATCAACCTTTAGGAGTTGATTTAATCGGGTAAGGGTGTGAAATATTGTTATTCTATCAATGTGTATGATTATGTATGATTTCGTTGGATTGTTGGGGAGTTTTTGCTTATTTTCCATTATAGGGCATAAATGGATTTAATCGGTAGAATCAAAGTTTTAACGGTTAGAATCGTGAATAAGTTGTGTAGTTTAGTCGAAGGATGTTAGACTAAGACTATAGAAACTGGTTTGGTGAGAATCGGAAGGTTTTGTGGAGTTTTGGAGTTTTGGACAGTTGAGAATTCTGAGTTCGCAAACACTCGCTAGCACCTTCGCTAGGCGAGTAAGTCGCGAACATTCGTTGCAGCAAGCTGTAGCAAGAGGTCCCAGACTTGGATAGGATGGATATGGTATTCTTCGCTGGTAGCGAGTGAGGTAGCGAAGCATTCGCTAGGACCTCGCTACAACGAGTAGGTAGCGAACATAGTCAGTAGCTTCTGTTTGCCTTCGCGAGCTTGTTCGCTAGGCGAACAGGTAGCGAGCATTCGCTAGGGACTCACTAGGCGAGCAAGCTAGCGAGCGTGACATCATTTTTTCTTCCTTTGTGATTTCATTCAATGTTGATTGTTTGGTTCGATTGTGTTCAATCTTGACCTGAATGAGTAGTTGTGTGCTGTTATGATATGATGTGCTATGGGTAGCCGTATGGCATGAATCCTAGATTGTGAATTGTGAAGTGTGAAATATGGCCGTTTGGCAATTATGTGCATTGTTTGAATTGAATGAAAATGCATGATTGTGTGATAAGAGTTTGTAGCCATGTGGGTAGTAAAGCGATACTCATTGTCGTTTGGCATGGTTGATATGAATGTACATAGATTGTATGTGCTAGTATGAGATGAATGCATGATTATATGTTTGTGAATATGTATGCATTTCAAGGATGTCATGAGTCATTTTGCATGTGAAGCATCATGATATGCATTCTTGTGTTGATTGATCCCTCGGAGGATCTGCAGAAGCCTCGTGTGCCCATGTGGGGTGTGAGCGATGGTTTATTATTGATTCCGCGTAGAATCTGCAGAACGATTGTGTGCCCATATGGGCTGTGAGCAATCGGATTGTGTGCCCGTGTGGGGTGTGAGCGATGGGTGAACATCGTAGGCCCGAAGGGGAGTTACTTTGGTAACAAGCGATGGTTCCACTTGGTTCTTCAATTGAACTTGCTGAATGAGTCGGTACCGCATTTGCATCTGCATAAAGTCGTGAGTCGGTCTCTATGAGTTGTATTTATCATCTTTATATGATGCATTGGTGAAATAAACATGAATGTAGATGTTTATGTGAATTGGTGATGAAATAAACATAATTGTAAATGTTTATGTGAAATGATGTGAATTGTAGAAGCATGATGGATGAATATGCTTGGTTAATTATATATATGTTGCGATATATATATGATTGAACTGTGATGATTGTGGTGAGAAATGAGAAAATATGTGTATTCTATGAATGTATATTGATATATGATTATATGCATTGATTATTATGATAATATTTCTCACCCTTCTGCTGTTTTATGATGCTCTATGAGGCATTGCAGATTAGGTTTGCTGGAGGTCTTTTGTGAAGTATAGCTTCATTCTTTTTGGTCGGTCGGCTCTGATATGTAGCACCGGGTAGCTAGGATGTATAGAATTCTTTTGTGATACGTTGTATATGTATCTTGATGTGAACGTTTATGAAAAACATGAATTATGTTGTGAATCAAACTAGATGACATATATATATATATATATATATATATATATATATATATATATATATATATATATATATATATATATATATATATATATATATATATATATATATATATATATATATATATATATATATATATATATGATTGAACTGTGATGATTGTGGTGAGAAATGAGAAAATATGTGTATTCTATGAATGTATATTGATATATGATTATATGCATTGATTATTATGATAATATTTCTCACCCTTCTGCTGTTTTATGATGCTCTATGAGGCATTGCAGATTAGGTTTGCTGGAGGTCTTTTGTGAAGTATAGCTTCATTCTTTTTGGTCGGTCGGCTCTAATATGTAGCACCGGGTAGGTAGGATGTATAAAATTCTTTTGTGATACGTTGTATATGTATCTTGATGTGAACGTTTATGAAAAACATGAATTATGTTGTGAATCAAACTGGATGACATATATATATATATATATATATATATATATATATATATATATATATATATATATATATATATATATATATATATATATATATATATATATATATATATATATATATATATATATATATATATATATATATATATATATATATATATATATATATATATATATATATATATATATATATATATATATATATATATATATATATATATATATATATATATACATAGTTATATGTTTTGA